GTACTGAAGACACCGAGCTCCATATACTGATCCATGTGATAGACAAGTGATATAAACAAAGTCATTTTTCATTTTAATAGTATCTCTGCACAAGTGTGTGTTTTTTTCAAAAAATAAATGTGGTCCTTTCGATTTCAATGTTTATGTTGTGTGAGCTATGCTCCACTTTGTTAAAACACAAAGCATAAACGTGCTGTATGTGCATCATAAAATTAATAAATTTTCCTACATTGCTTTCATTACTTATTTCATATGCACAAATAAAAATCCTTATTCAATTTAAATCCTGCTACACTTCCATACTCTTCAATTACTTCCAGAAGTTTTCTTACATTATCCTTTGGATTTTCAACAAAATAGATGATGTCGTCTGCAAATGTCATCATTCAAATCCTTTGATGTTAACCCCTCTTATCTCTTTATCTTCCCTGATTTTATTGTTTAGTATTTCTAATGTCATAATAAACAAAAGTGGTGACAATAGGCACCCTTGCCTGGTTCCTTTTTCTATTTATATTTTGTCTGTTCTCTCATTATTTATGATAATTTGAGCATTCTGTTCTTTGCACAAATAAAAATCCGTGTATGCATATGACTGAGGATTTGTGGAAATCAGGCTGGACTATAAGATTTACCTAAAATTATATGCAGAATGTACATATTGAACTGATCAAGATAAATGATTGCATAAAAATTATTTAGAATGTCCCATACAAGAATTAGTTACAAATGTTAGGCATTTGACCAATTTACACCAAATGTGATGAGCCTGTGAAGTATCATGTTAAAATTTAGCTTTAAGGAAACCAGCGTAAGCTGCTGATTTGGAAAATACGAGTCCCTGAAAAGTACATGAAGATTTGTTGTAAGTGATGTAATGTTATATTCCTAGAATAAAAGATAAGATTCAGGTTTCTGTAGTTTTACAGAGCAACATATATCTATATCTATATAGATATGGCAATATATTGATTAAATATAAGCAATAATAATTAGGAAGATGAAGCGGGCTGGACAACAACTAGAGCACGAATGGTGAAAGACTCGACTCTTATCCGACAGAACTCACCATAGGAAACATCTTGATTCCTATCGGGAGGCAATACGTGCAGCACAGAGATCCTTCTCTTCTGCACGTATTGTGTCTGCAGAGTCTCGTCCAGCAGAGCTGTTTAGGGTGGTGGGGGAACTGACGCAGGTACCTCCTGCGCAGAACCCTCTACTTAACCCAACAACGGCCTGCTGTGACTTGTTTAACATCCACTTTGCAGATAAAATCTCTCGGATAAGAGCCGACGTAGGTGCCAGTGTTTTGACAGAATCCATAGACGAGGTGGCCAGCAACTCCATTGATGGCATTTTACTGGATCCGCTTGAATCTGTGAGTACCGATGACATGGACAAGCTTCTTGGTAGTGTGAGGAGGATGACCTGCCCTCTTGATCCATGTTCATCTTGGCTGGTCATCCAGGGGGGTGACATGTTGAGGGTATTCCTTCGGGATGCTATCAATGCATCTTTCAGGGAAGGCATTGTTCTATCTTGTCTAAAGTAGGCGGTGGTCAAGCCTCTCCTGAAAACGCCTTTTCTGGACCCCCTGAACCAGAATAACTATAGACTGGTCTCCTTGCTGCTTTTTTAAGCAAGGTGATCGAGAGAGCGGTTGCCTCCCAACTCCAAGCTGTCTTGGATGAAACCGATTATCTGGATCCATTTCAAACCGGCTTTAGGACAGGATATGGAGTTGAGACTGCCATGGTTGCTCTGGCTGACGATTTCCGCTTGGGTATCGACAGGGGTAGTATGACCCTGCTGGTGCTCTTGGACCTCTCAGCGGCCTTTGACACAATAGATCATTCCATCGTCTTGGATCGCCTGAGAGAGTTAGGAATTGGAGGCACTGCTTTGCAATGGCTCTGTTCTTTCCTCTTGGTCAGATCCCATAGGGTGAGGCTTGGGGACAGTTGCTCTTCCAGAATTGAGCTTAATTGTGGTGTCCCTGAGGGTGCCATCCTGTCCCCGATGCTATTTAGCATCTATATGAAGCCGCTGGGAGAGATCATTCAGAGGCATGGAGTACGATGTCTTCAGTATGCTGACGACACCCAGATATATCTCTCCATGACCCGGTCATCGGCTCAGACTTCAGATGGCGTCTCTCCTCTTAATGATTGTCTTAAAGCGGTAATGGACTGGATGAGGAAAAACAGACTGAGACTGAATCCAGACAAAATGGAGGTGTTAACAGTCACGGGCCCGAAACCAGGTCTGGGAATATAACTCCCGGTCCTGGATGGAGTCACACTCTCCTCCAAGGACTGTGTTCGCAGTCTGGGGGTACTCCTAGATTCGTCGCTTCAGATGACCAATCAGTTGAATGTGACAGTCAGGAGTGCCTGTTATCAGCTGCACCCTTTCCTGGAAAATAGGGATCTCAAAACTGGTACACGCTCTGGTAACCTCACATCTGGACTTCTGTAACACACTCTACATGGGGCTACCCTTGTGCTTAACTCAGAAACTTCAATTAGTTCAAAATATGGCAGCCAGGTTGCTTACTGGTACATCTAGGAGAGAGCACATTACACCAGTGCTGAAATCTCTCCACTGGCTGCCCATTAGTTTCTGAGCACAGTACAAGGTGTTGGTCATGACCTTTAAAGCCCTTCATGGCTTGGGTTCAACTTATCTTCGGGACCGCCTCCTTCCTTATGACCCCCCTGGAGCACTTCGGTCCTCTGGGAGGAACCTGTTACAGCTCATAAAAACCAGGCTGTTGGTGACCTCCCAGAAGACCTTCGCTGCCTCCACTCCCAGATTATGGAATGGCCTGCTGGATGAGATCTGTCTCATTACCACCCTTGACAGCTTCAAAAAGGCAGTTAAGATGGATCTTTTCTGGTAGGCCTTCCCTGAATAACATCCTGGCCCTAAAAAGAAAAGACGACGTTGATTCCAGCTCTTTAACTGCATCTGCCATGCTGCTATTTCTATGTCCGTACTATATTGTTTTTATTTTGTATTTTAACTTACTAATAGTTTAATATATTTTTAAGGGGCGGGTGGGTTAGGGAAGGGGATTCTTGGTTTGTTTTAACTTGTGATGTTGTTTTAATTTGTTGTACGCTGCCCCGATTGCACTTCAGAGGGGCGGGATAAAAGTAAAAATTATTATTATTATTATTATTATTATTTATGCAATGATCAATAAGTCTAATGTAAGTAAACTCTCTTTTTCCAGTGCAGTTGCCCTGTCATACTGATGGAGAGAAACTTTCCTCCTCCTGTTTCATCCCCCCTCCCCAACCTGAGCATGTTCATCTGTTCATGAACAATGATTAGTTTTTCATTGATAATTTATGAACCTCAGAGTTAAAAATGCCAAAGGCAGGCCTAGGCACTCCATATTATGGGTCTTGTGGTTTTGCTTGGGCAAACTCTAGGTTAAGTCCTCTTCCTCACTGAACTTTTGTTTTAGGCCAGTTGTGGGATGTGAAACCACCACATTTTGCAGCAGTTCTGAGCCATTTCTCCTGAAACAACACACATTTTTAAAAAAAAGAAAGAAAGAAAAAAAGAAAATAGAATTAGGTTTGGGAACTTCAGGAGCTGCAAAATGGAGCCCTGTGAGCTGCAATCTCCCCATCCCTGTTCTATGGAATTCAAGAAGTGATATACACAGTTCTTTCCTGTCATGTCCTACTTGGAGGCCAACTCAGATGAGGAAGAGAAAGAGGAGAGGCAAGATTATGGACACCATTTGGACCTGGAGTAGGCTAGAGCCTGCCCTGTCATGGCACTGTCAGTGACAGAACCTGGTCCATCCCAGCGCCAGCTGCACATTGGCAGAAGGAGGTAAAGGCACTTCACCCTGTCAAGCAACATAAATGGAAGCTCTGAGAGTAAAACATCAGGCCATACCCTGTTCCACTTAAAATACAGGATGCTATTTAGCTAGTGAGGTCAACTGGGCTGATTAACTCCTGGTTATAAATTAATGTAGCCATTCTTCTTTAAAAACTGCTCACAAACTCCTGTGCAACTCTGTCACTAGTTTTCTGGATTCCTGACCTTCACCTTTAGACTATTCTTTCTGGCAACTCCTCTCTCAGCCTTAGACTCAGCACTGCATTTTCCCTTTGAACCTTGGACTTCCTGGACCATGGTTCTGCTTGTAACCCTGTACAAATCTCAGGACTGGTCTGTACCCCACCGCCCACCCCGCCAATTTCTGTTGATTGTAGATGTGCTCACATGAGCACTTGTCAGTCTTAAACAGGCCACTTCTTCCCATTTTATCTTCTTAATGATTAGGTGAGGTAGGTTAAACTGGGGGAATAGAATAAGAATAATAGCAACAATAACAGCAGCAGCAGCAGCAACAATATTCATTTATAACAAAGGGTGAAACATCAACCATATATAGTCAAAAGCAAAGACAGTAAAACCTAACATTATAACACTACACACACACACACACACACACACACACACACACACTCCATCATCCTACTAGCCATTTACATCAGATTTAATTGAAGATCATTCAGTAGAGCATAAGCTATGAAACTGTCTCTCCTTGATCCTAGATTAGCGGTGGTGATAATGATGATGTATCATATCTGTCTTACTTGGATTGTGACTTGTTATGGGAAATGTG